TTTTTTTTTTTGGTACCAGGGATCGAACTCGGGTCCTTGTGCAGGTGGTGGAACTACTGAGCTAAATCCCCAGCCCTAAAATTAATTGATTTTATTTAGACTGTGATAAAATTGTTTGAGAAAGATTTTTAATTCTAATTATGTACTTCAAAGGTAGGATATAAAAATGACTTTTATTGTTATTCTCTACCAGTAAAAAATAATTAAAACATTTGATCCATTGAGGAAGAGTATACTAAATCATTAAGATTATTGAGGGTGATTATGGCCAGTTGGATCAGTCACCTCTTTACTTTGAACTGTTCAGCTAACAAATCAACTTCATTGTAAAATCACATTTTACTGCCCATTATCAACTAAAGTAGTTTTGCTTTGACACTAAGCACCAATTGGTCATACTAATTAATACCATGCCATGCAGATGGCTAGGCAGCTAAGATATATCTAAAATATACAACAGATTTTGGGAAACATGACACAAATAATTGTCTGTGACATCTGTTTATCTTGTGTTGAATTTCCTTTGAATGGGTAGATGGAGATTCCATTTCTAAGAATAATAGATAAAGAAATAAAATGATCTTTGGCATTTGTCCTGCATTCCTAGCCTTCTTTTACTCTATATGTCATATTTAGCCATTCTCCAGGGTCTTCCTCCAGGATTTAATAGCTCTACACTCATCAATGGCCAGGGCCTTTCTCTATAACCTTAATGATTGCAGGAGGGTAGAGGGTTAAATGGTTTGGTAGCACTTCTCTTGGCTGTAGTGACCCAAGTGAGCCAACTTGAATGGGTTTATTAATCACTGACATATGTTTTTGATGAGACACCTCTTCTTTGGGTTCTCAGAATGCCTGTGGGAAGTCACATTGCTAAGCTAAAGTCATATCTCCAATTGTATGTGTCTTTGAAAGTCAGCTCATGGATTTCAGCTAGTGGCCTGACAAAAAACATAAAATCAAAATCTTTTTTTTTGCAGGATATCAAAATAAGAAAACTTTGCAAATAACCAGACCTATGAGAACATGCTCTTAGGCTGAACAATTCTATGCTGGTGATGAGGTCAAAGAACAGAATTCAATAAGAATGGAAATTAGAGATTATGTTTCAGAGCTCTGCACAACATTGAACTTGACAATCATGTCTGCACAGTTTAACTGTGATGTATTTACTTGGAAATACATTTATTCTTAATTTGTGAAAACTAGAGAGGGTCCCTGTGTGATTGATTTCTCAGAAAAATCCTCACCCTAATACAGTGTGTGCATCAAATTCAGATTTTCACTTTTTTAATTCATTTGATCCTATAAATATGTAGGGAGTGAGAACCTTTTATACATGAATTCCTTGCTTCATCCTCCAAATCCCCTCTCTAAAACAAAAAGCATCTCTCAAATCTCTGTCCAACTTTGGCTGCTCAGACTGATGGCTCTTGACAGTCATTGCTGGGGGCAGGAGTGGAGGACCTTGTGTCAAGCAGAACACACGTGTCTGTGTGGATCAGTTGCACATGTGCTTTCTGGGTGGCTGATACCACTGAAGGCCAGGGTACAGGAGCATCAGGGTGGCTTGGGCTCAGTCCAGAGCCAGGAGTGGCTGAGTGTTCTCATTTTCTCCCTTCTCCTCATGTTTCAGGGTCCCAGCTTCTACCACAGACTGAGATCTAACAAGAGAGGAGAAAAAAAGATGCATTTACAAACAACTCATGATGGCAACAATTTTGAAATCTTTGGGGGTATTTCAATTTTGTATCTGCCTTTTTAATCAATATACTCAAAACAACTACTTAGTTTTTTCTCTTTTTGTATTTCTGCCTTTCTTGTGTTTTCTACACCACATTTTCATGGAGAGGGACATCTTGGGGTCTTGGAATCTTTGCAGAAATCTCTTCTGTTGATAGAAGGGATGCATGTGCTCCACCCACAACTCTGCCCCAGTGTCTAAACATTCTGTGAATTTTGAGATTTATAAAGCCAAGTAGTACTGGATTTTTAGTGTTTCCATGTACTTTTTAAAACCCTTTGTTTCCAGACCATCAGAAATTACCATGCATGTGTTAAGACCAGGGTGTACAAACCTGGTAAATTTAGACTCTGCCCTTACTAGCTAGGAATTTTAGAGGAATTCTCAAAACTCTGTGGACCTCTATTCTCTTGCCTACGTGAGAATATTACCTACCTTCCACAGTTGTTGATAAAGTCTAAAACTAATAATATACATAAATAATTTTGCATGAAATGGAAGTGCAAATTCATGGAGCAAGGTCATCATTACTGCAATAGAAGTAGTAGTGTTTAATATCAGATGTCTTTTTATATTGCAATAATAATGATTTCTTTCCTAAGATCACAACATGGATTAAAAATTGATTTATTCTATCACTTACAGAGAAAAGATTATAAGAGCTATGCACACAGTGGATATTTAATAAATGTTCCTATGCTAAAAACAAATTATTCAAAATATTTAAAAAGTTAGATTGTTCAGAAGGAAGTTTACATGTATGTGCAGTAATAGTTTAACTCAATAGACCTAGGTTATTCAGACCCTGCACACTCAAAGTCTTCAAGATTAGCCTTCGACTGGCTGCTCTGAGCACTTGACACGTCCTGCCTAATGAGAATGTCTTTCTATATCTGATGTTTCGAGCTATATTGGGTGTTTAGGGTGAAAGTACGTCTAATGCTTTTTCTGTATACCTAGCTTTATTTAGATCACTGTATCTGTTTGCCCTCTTCTAGCAAAGGAGAGAGGAACAGAGGCTGAGGACTGAGTACTGGTAACTGAGGTCAGCCATGCAGGTACTACATACCTGTGAATCGAACCTTAAACCAAACCCTGGACAGCTAAGCACAGGGAAGCCTCTCTGGTTGACAACACTTTGCACACTGTCAGATGTCATTGCTGAGAGAGATACAGTCTGACCATGTGCTTGTACTTAGAGTACACCATAATCTTGCATCTAATCTTCCCTGGACTCTACCCCCATGCACCTTGTTTCCTTTGCTTATTTTAATCTATATCTTTTTCCTGTCATAAACCATAACTGTTAGTGTAACCACTTTTGTGTCCTGTGAGTCTTTCTAGCAAACTGTCAAAAATAAAGGTGACACAATATTAACAGTTAATTATTGTTATGCATGCATTTGATATTGTTCTAAGAAATTCTTTACATTTATGAACCTATTCCATTTTCACAACTCTCTTTTGTCTGGAGTGTACATGGGGGATAAGGGATGTTGATATATATAAGGAACAGAAAAGCAGAAAATCCAGAAGACATTAAAGCAAACAGCAAACATGAAAACCAGAGGAGCACAACCACCCCCCAGGACGGTCTCTCTCCAGGACCTTGGACAGCTGCCTGAACGGCTCTGCACTGAGGGCCCTTGTGAAACAGAAGGAAGATGATGGCTCTACTCCCAGAAACTTAAACTACCTTCTCTTTTGTCGTGTGAGCTATTTTACAACACAGCGTGTGAACCACAGTCATCAAGTTAGATAGAAACCTCCTGACTGATCTAGATCAACTGATAGGCAATTTTCAGTAAACACCATGGACACCTCTTGAACATATCCGACTTTAGAATCCCATTGGTCCATGCACTGAAAGAGGCAAACAGTCCTTAATCCAATTCAAACTGGAATTTTCAAAACGCATGTATACTAGTGCTGCCTCCCGGAGCCACCAGCTTACCAGCACTGCTGGGTATCTGAGGAATGGGATTCAGGACTGACTCCTGCAGATATCAAAATCCACAGATTCTAAGTCTTTTATGTAAAATGGTGTAGTATTTGCACACAACCTATATACATCCTCTTCTATACATTAAATCACTTCTAGATGACCTCTAGTACCTAATACAACTTAAATGCTATGCTGTTACACTGTGTTGTTTAGGGAATAATGACAAGATAAAAAAAGTTTGTACCCATTCAGTGGAGACACACCACAACCATCATAGGCCTAACTGTACAGTACACATCAGCAATGATGTAACATACTTTTCTACAAATATTTTCCATCCATGGCTATTTGAATCTATGATGTGAAAGCCATACATACAGAGACCTCACTGTATGTTCATTTCACTCAGTAGTCCACATAGCAGTATTTAGTTTGTGTCCTCTGTTCCTACCACACCCCTCACCAAGATTAATCAGATTTCTTTGTGCCAAGACTTCTAGAATTTAGCACCTCAATACTCTCTGTGTCTCTGCCCACAGTATTCCTGGTGTGACCTCAGAATAGAGAGAAATTATTGCTTTTTTTTTTTTCACCTCCTGTCTACAATCTCATTAGCATTTCTGGCATTGATGTATCACAGACAAAGGAAAAGCTGTCTGTATTTACAAATGCTAGTTTTAACACATTTGTCTCCCATCTTGAAGGTGCATGATTATTAAATTTCATCTTTTGGAATTTGCCTGTTTCCAATCTACATTCTTTGGATCTTACAATTTTTAGCCATCCAAATCATGATCTGTGATTATAATGAGTATTGATTTCTGCTCTTTTTGCTCTCCTACTATGGAAGCCACAATGAAGAAAAACCAATACATTCCCCCAATAATGAATTTTCAAATAATCATTTGTTCACACTGGCTCATACTGAGAAATATTTGTGAACATTTCTTGTGAAATGCCGAAGACTATGAGCAAGTGCACAGAAACCTGTATATTTTGGTGGAAATACTGCTTCAGTTACCCAGTCATAGACCCACAAGCAGACATACAATCATAAAAAGCACCCCATTACCTGGCTGGAGAGGAAAGGAAAGGAAAGAAAGAAAAAAATATATATCCTTCATACAATGACATCATTCATCCTTGTTCAAGAGACTGACACATGGAGTAAATTTGGGATCTTTATTATTTTGTTCAGTTGATGTCCTGCCAAGTAAAGATCTGGAATTCAGGCTCTCTTATCTCAGTCAATAAAATGTATGACTGTGTTGAATGGTAAATAACAATAGGACAATTTTGAGATACAGACCACAAAGAACCAAACATAGCATTTGTTTTCTGGTTTCTATTTTCCCTGGTTGAAAAGAATGATCAGAAATGATCAGAATGATCAGAAAATGAAAAATAAAAACGAAAAGAATGATCAGAATGATCAGAAAAGAATGATCTTTATATTCGACATGACATAATTCATATACTTAGTCACAGAAAAAATATGTGACATAAGTAACACTATATTATGAAATATTGGAAATTCATTGGAAAATAGAAAACAAAATTAAACTCAAAGTTCTCATAACCCTGACATGAAACTTAAAAAAGTAGGTACTGGCACATACCATAATCTGAGAGTAAATGAAGGATTAACATCTCAAAATAGATGAAGACTAGTATTTTAAAAATTCAAAAGAGTGATGAAACCATTGCACATGAAAACTAACCTTAGTACGTTACTTTATATCACATAATTTTTAGAAATAACCCAAAATTTTCATCTGATTAACAACTATTTATGTAGCTTTCAGTTCAATGTATTTGCAATTATTTTCAACCATGTAGAGCAATATGGGGTGTCTTTCAACTATAATGTTTTAAATAATGTTCTTGATCAGGAGACTTTAGAAATATTTGTAAAACATGCATTCTTCTGTTATACATAATCAGATCATCCTTACATGCAACATGATTATGCTCACTAGGAACATTAATGTTTATAGAACCAGATAAGTCAATCAAACTTTTTTTTTCAAAAAGAGAAGCTGAAATATTTCTCATGTAAAATAGCACATCTTTTCCCTTCAAAGTAAACAAATAGAAAATAAACCTCCCTCTACCATGACAATACAACTTGCCACAATTTATTAAATTGGAAATACACAGATATTAATTCAAGGAAAATATTCTATTACTTTTTATGCAGGCTCGTTTTAGCTTGAGCCAAGCACTTATTACAGCTCTTGGCCTCAATACACTCTACTCACATTTTAATATATGATGTGTTTCTGTGGAAACGTGGTAGGCATGGTCACTGCCTACCCATCTGAGAACAATGGAGCCCCAAGAGCAGACGTGCACCTTCAGGAGAAATGGAAGCAGGTGCTCATGAGATTGGAACCAGATGTAAGTGGGAGCAGAGCTATGCTGTCCAACACACTCTACAGAATCACACACGGTCACTGAAATTAGACCACACTGAATGGGGATGGGCTGTAAAGGTAATGCACACACTGAGTTTTGAAGACTTAGTAGAAGAAAAGAATATAAACTATCTCTTTAGTATTCCTTTAGAGCTCAGGAAGGATACAGCTCAGTGGTAGAGTATTTCCCTGGTAGGCACAAGGCCCTGGGTTTGATCCCCAGAGCCATAAAATTAAAACAATCAATCAAATATACTTTTGTTTACATTTAAAATTCTATTTTATATTTACATAAATTCATATTTTAAACTTAAAATGTATACATATTTAAATTGCATATTGAAATGATGATATTTAGATACACTGGGTTAAATAAAACACGTTACAATTTATTTCATCTGTTTCTTTGTATTTTGAAATATGGCGATGAGAAACTTAAAATTACATATGTAGCTCATTTTATATTTCCTTGCACAGCATTACTCTAGTTAAGATCCTCATTTATTCCCTGGTATGCTTGTGGGCTGAGCCTAGAATAATCTTCTAATCTTCACTTAG